CACCAGAAAGGGACGGCAGTCATGGGATTCCCCGGAAAACTTCTCAGGCGGAGCCAGACGGATTGACACGGTGTGGGAAGCGGGCGCCGGGTCCGCATTCGCTTCGGGTCCGGCCGGAGGTGGGGGTGAGGGCTCAGCCTTGAGGTGAGTGAGCAGGTGGTGAACCTGCCCCGCCAGGTGGTTAATCTGGTTTGTTACAGATGACTCGAACTCCCTCTGGCTGTCTGTGACGTGCGATATTCCCTGCTGGATGGCCGTTAAATTATCCTCCTGTTGAGCGAGGCGGCCTGCCTGAGAGCGAAGCGCTGATTTCAGCTGTTCAGAGTCGGCTGAGTTCATGTTTTGGCCAGTTCGTACTGTTACGACTGAATTAACGGGTTTGAACTCAAATGCACGACTCACACAGGTTTTAACAAAAAAGGTTTATTTCAAACCAAAGCTCTTCAACAGAGGTCAAAACACAAATGACTCTTAACGAGGAAAAACAGTTTCAAAACAAAGTCACTCTTAATGAGGAAAAACACTAACAAAACAAATCTCAGAAAACAAGACGTGGCTCAAAGCTCTGCTTGAGATTTCACCTGGCATGATACACTTGTGGTTAGTCACAGGAAACGAAACGAACTGGCACAGGACAAAGGGAGACGAGGACAATAAATACACCAGGTAATGGGGAACAGGTGGAAACAATCAGGGGCGGGGTCGACAATCACAGGTGTGGGAAGACACACAAGGAAAGGAGGTTCAAGGTTCAAGGTTCAAGGTTCTTTATTGTCAATCTGACATAGCTACAGAGTAATTATGCAGTTGAAAATCTTATGTCACAGGCTTCTCCAACAATGCAACATAATAACATAACATAATAACAATAAGAGCATGAGCAATACAAAAATAATAATAGTTATAAAAATGAAATAAAGTTATGATGTGGAATAGTGCAATAGAGTCTATATACAAGTTATTGGAATGATATATATATATTAGGTATTAGATACATACTACTGAGTAGCAGTTGAATGTTTGAAGTTGTTTCAACAGTTCAATTGTTTAACAGTCTCACTGCCCGCGGGAAGAAACTGTCTCCGAATCTTCTTGTCCTTGCCAGGATGCTGCGGTAACGTCTGCCAGACGGCAACAGAAAGAACAGTTTGTGGCTGGGGTGATGGGGGTCTTTGATAATCCGTAGTGATTTCTTCCTGAGCCGCTGGGAGTAAAGGTCCTCCATGGATGGCAGCTCCGTCCTGGTGATGTGCTGTGCAGTTTTCACCACCCTCTGTAAAGCCTTACGATCGAGGTCGGTGCAGCTGCCGTACCAGGCCGTCATGCTGCCAGTGAGGATACTCTCTATCGTGCACCTGTAGAAGTTGCAGAGTATCCTGGAATCCATTTTGAACCTCCTCAACCTGCGGAGGAAGAAGAGCCGCTGTCGAGCTTTCTTGGTGATGGTGGTGGTGTGAAGAGACCATGTCAGGTCCTCAGTGATGTGGACCCCAAGGAACCTGAAGCTTTTGACTCTCTCCACCGTAGTCCCATTGATGGCGATGGGGGCGTGTCCCTCTCCCTGCTGCTTCCTGTAGTCCACAATCAGCTCCTTTGTTTTGCTGATGTTGAGATGGAGGTTGTTATCCTGGCACCAAGATGTCAGGTTTTCGACCTCCTCTCTGTACGCCGTCTCGTCATCGTCTGTGATCTGGCCGATGACGGTCGTGTCATCAGCAAACTTCACGATGGTGTTGGAGCTGTGTGTGGCCACGCAGTCGTGGGTGAACAGGGAGTAGAGGAGAGGGCTGAGCACGCAGCCTTGAGGGGCACCGGTGTTTAGAATCAGGGTGGAGGATGTGATATTTCCCACCCGCACTGCCTGGGGTCTGCCCGTCAGGAAGTTCAGGATCCAGTCACAGAGGGCGCTGTTGAGCCCGAGGTCTCTGAGCTTGATGGCCAGCTTGGAGGGCACAATGGTGTTGAATGCTGAACTGTAGTCAATGAACAGCATTCTCACATATGTGTTCCTGTTCTTCGGGTCCAGGTGTGAGAGGGCAGTGTGGAGGGTGAGGGCTATGGCGTCGTCTGTGGACCTGTTTGCTCTGTAGGCAAACTGCAGGGGGTCCAGAGATTCAGGGAGGGAGGAGGTGATGAATAATTTGACTAACCGCTCAAAGCACTTCATTATGATGGAGGTGAGTGCTACTGGGCGGTAGTCGTTGGGGCAGGTGATGATTGTCTTTTTGGGGACAGGAATGATGGTGGAGTGTTTAAGACATGTGGGGACTACAGACTGCAGCAGGGACCTGTTGAAGATGTCTGTGAACACCTCTGCCAGCTGAACTGCACACACCCTGAGAACACGGCCAGGGATGCCATCAGGTCCAGGAGCCTTGTGTGGGTTAACCCTTTTAAAGGATTTACACACATCTGCCCTATTTAAAACAAAAGGGCAGTGTAGCTCCTGGTCCCTCTGTACCTCCACAGCCTGGCTGCTCTCAAAGCGTGCAAAAAAACTGTTTAGCTCATCTGGGAGAGATGCGCACGCAGACACTCCCGCAGCACCCCCCGCTGCTCCTTTGTAGTCAGTCATTGTCCTTAGTCCCGCCCACATATTCCTAGTGTTACAGCCTTTGAAGTCAGATTCCACCTTCTCTTTGTACCGTCTCTTTGCATTTTTTATTGCTCTCCGGAGATCATACCTAGACTTCCTGTACTCCTCCAAATCTCCCGCTGTGTGCGCGAGAGTGCGCGCTTTCAGTTTGCCGCGCACCTCACCGTTTACCCAGGGCTTTTGATTTGGGAATGTCCGTACAGAAACCTTCGGTACCACGTCATCGATGCATTTCCCAATGTAGCAGATGACAGTGTCCGTGTGTGTGTTGATGTTATTGTCCTCAAACACACTCCAATCCGTAGATGCAAAGCAATCCTGCAGTGCTGAATCTGACTCCTCGCTCCATCGTTGTACTGTCCTTGTTATCGGTCTGTCCCTTTTAAGTTTCTGCTTGTAAGCAGGCAACAACAGTAGTGAGATATGGTCTGATTTGCCGAAGGGAGGGCGAGGGAGAGCCTTATATCCATTCCGGAAAGGGGAATAAACATGGTCCAGTATGTTTCCCCCGCGCGTCGGGAAGTTGATGTGTTGGTAATATTTTGGCAAAACCTTCTTCATGTTGGCGGTGTTGAAATCTCCGGCCACAACGAACGCCGCATCTGGCCGTGACGTCTCGGTTTTATCAATAAACCCAAACAGCTGATCGAGTGCCGTGTTGTTGTCGGCGAGTGGCTGCGGCGGGATATACACTGCTGTTATCACAACAGATGTGAATTCCCTCGGCAGATGGAAGGCCCGACATGAAATCATGAGGTGCTCTAGCTGTGCGGAACAGTCCGATGAAATAATCTTCACATCTGAGCACCAGTTGTTGTTAGTCATTACACACACACCGCCTCCCTTACTTTTCCCCGAGTTTGCAGTCCGGTCCTGACGAAAAATAGAGAATCCGTCAGGGACAATAGCGGAGTCCGGGATAGCGGGGTTGAGCCAAGTCTCAGTGAGAATTAACACGTTACAGTTCTTAATGTCCCGTTGAAAAGCAATCCGGCTTCTGAGTTCATCTAGCTTATTTTCAATGGATTGAACATTAGCCAGAAGAATACTCGGAAGAGGGGGCCGATTCTCACGTTTTCTCAGTCTGACCAGCAACCCGGCCCGGCATCCCCGCTTTGTCTTCTTCTTGCGTCTCTCAGGTAGAACAGCAACAGGTAGCCATGGTGGATCTCCATTGTTTGTCGGAGGGTTAATATTGTCCACGAAGTTTCGCAATTGGAAAAGTTCCTCTCTGCTATATTGTATGGCAGAGTAGGTGCGGTCGGCTAGCATGTTGCGAACCATGTTAAAAGTAAAACGGCAAAAGTAAAAGAAATATGTACAAAATGCGAAAATGGGCAAAGTTGGAGAGGAGCACAAAGACGATGCGGCCATCGTCACCGGCGCATCAGCTGTGAATCAGAGTATCTGAAACGAGAGGGAAGGTTACTATTAAAAGATAAAGGGGAAAATCACTAGACAAAGACAAAAACACTAAACTAAACTAACATAATTTGCGAGAGATGACAGAACTGAGTTAAAAAAACAGAAGTCTTAAGAGATGAGACAAGGATTAGGGGAATTCGGAGTCACAAAAGGTGATGTGTTTCCTTGTGTGACTGTTGAGTAAATAACAGTGTGTTATTTAGAAAAGAATGACAAATTAGAAGGAAAAAAAGATTGAAAAAATACAGATTTCAGTATTCTGAGGCTATGAGCCATTTATTTTCCTCACGGACGGCAAAAAAAGTCAGACATTATAGAATTTAAAATAAAAACAATATCGTGGCTTGATATTGAGTAACAAAACATTTTTATGAGCCACACAGCTTCTGGTCTTCCAAGACCCGACCGGACAAAAAGACATGGTGCCGGCACGAAACATACTACCAATAGAAATACATTGCTTTTAAAATCGTTCTGTGTGACACGAAAAAAAGGGGGAAATCGTGTTGGTGAACACGAAGCAATAGATTACATTTCGTGACTATAACACGAAATGCCGTGAGACTGGGTTTGTTGATCAAGACTGCATATTTGACCAGTTCAAATACGTTTTTGTCAGCCTTGGTTGAGAAAAAGGACACCACTTGATGGCTGTATGTTCAGAAACTTTCAAAACCAGAAACAGTACATATACATTTGTATTTGAATAAAGACTTTCAGCCTATATTTCACTGATTAACACTCATCAAGCGTTTCCACTGAGCCGTTTTGGTTCTTGTAGTTTACACACACACACACACACACACACACACACACACACACACACACTCTCGCACACACACACACACACACACACACACACACACACACACACACACACACACACATACACATACACACACACACACACACACAAGCCTGATATTTGCATATAGATAGAAACACAGGAAACCATTTTTAATACAAGAATAACCAGACTGAGAAGTTTTCAGGAATGTTTGCGTCAGTCTTTAGAGGCTGGACGAGCAGAAACAGCATAAAAACAGACAGAGCGAGACACAGCGCCACATCAGAGCTGCACCTGCAGGACCAGGACCTTAACAGAAGCATCAGCTGCCCCGGACCTCCAGGACCAGGACCTAAACAGAAGCATCAGCTGCCCCGGACCTCCAGGACCTCCAGACGGTGAGTCTCCACTTATGTTTCTCCTCACGGTCCTGCAGCTCCGTCAGGAAGCCTCCTGTGACTCGGTGCAGGGACCAGTCCCCTCAGAAACACAGAGAATCCTGAAGAGAGGTCCGTGTGAATGCTGAATGCTGAGCATTCTGAGTAACGTACGGGGAGCAGGTAGCAGCTGAAGTCTTACCAGTTTCTCCATTGACTTCTGTAGTGAAATGTGGATGAATTATGGTGAATATTATTCATAGCATTCCTAACTGAGATTAACGTTTTGATGTTTGAACCGAGTTTGTGGGTTGAAGATGTGGAAGTAGTTAAGGTACAGAAAAGTGTACAGAAGACTAATAGAGGTAAAGACTTTTTGCTGTAGAAGAACGTACATAGTAAAACTTAATAAGTTGTTGTAAATTTAAAAAAGTATGCAAACTCATTGCCTCACAATAACTAAGGTAAGTTAGTATGGTGAGTAGGAACAACTTGTTTATTAAGTACTAACACAACACTTTTAAGTTGTAAAAAAACATTCATTGCATTAACTTAAAGGTCACCTATCATGCAACGTACATAGTAAAACTTAATAAGTTGTTGTAAATTTAAAAAAGTATGCAAACTCATTGCCTCACAATAACTAAGTTAAGTTAGTATGGTGAGTAGGAACAACTTGTTTATTAAGTACAACTAATGGCGCAGTTCCACTACAGCGCGGAGCTCGCTTTAAGCGTGCCGTGTCGTGCCGTGCACGTTTTTGGTTGCGCTTCCACTAGGCCTAGTTCCGGCCCGGCACGGCCCGGGGCCACTTTTTCACGTCTTTTCTGGCCCGAGGAAATTGTGGTTCTATCGGGGCCAACAAACAGGGCTGAGTCGGGCTGAGTATGCTAAACTAGAGAGAGGAGCGATGGCAAGAGGGCTACAACTACAACAAGATGGACATATTTGACCGTGATTTAATTGTAATACACGTTTCAAAATGATGCCGAAGTAACAACATACTGATACCGGTTAGTAAAAACCATGAATTAATGCTTTGTCAAGTCTGCAGACAGACGGCAGGCGAAAAACCTTTTAAAATGCGTGTTTTTCTAGATGGAGATTGGCTAAGCTAACGCAGTATATGCCCCGACCGTCCACACTCACAACAACGGCCTATACAGACATAAATAAAGCAGCGACTGTATTCTCCATGACACAGGCAGTCTGTGGTTTGTACTTGTTTAACTTTTGTCGAGTTTCTGAACATATATAAGGAGCTGTGAGCTCTGAGTGCTAACAGCTAACGGCTGTGTTGTGTTTCTGGAGTTCTCATTGAAGATGACGTCACGGCTCCGCCTACACTGCGTTACTATAGTAACTACCCCAGTTCCTAAACTGTAATGGAAGCGCAGCATGAAGTGAGTCGGCCCTGTTAAGGCCAAGCCGTACCGAGCCGTACCGAGCGTGGCCGAGGCCGACCGTGTAGTGGAAATGTGCCATTACACAACATTTTTAAGTTGTAAAAAAAACATTCATTGCATTAACTTAAAGGTGGGGTAGGTAAGTTTGAGAAACCGGCTCGAGATACACTTTTTGTTATATTCCATGGAATGCTCTTAACATCCCGATAGCAATGAATATCTGAAGTGCTTTGACAAAAAACCCATAAAATAATTAGGGCTGTCAAGTTAACGCGTTAATAACGCGTTAACGCAAAAAAAAATTAACGCCACTAATTATTTTAACGCAATTAACGCATGTGTATTTTTTGTCCTCGGCCGCCGTAGTTTCAGAGCGCATGGAGTTTAAAATACCATCGACAAGCTGATGCTGACAGCCCCGCTCCTACCGCCCGCTTGTGGCAGACCACACTTCCACGCTCACTGGCAGGCCCGGACTGGCCATCGGGAGGACCGGGAGAGAGTGTGTATGTGTGGTGCGACTCGCGCGAGCGAGGCACACCTTACGTGTTGTTGTTAGCATCTGGTGCTAGCTAGCTGCGCTAACGGATATAAGGAGCTGTTTCAATGACATTTCGCCGACAACTGCGCCGAGCACTTGACTTTATGCAGGTAGCCAGACAGTGGGACATTGTACGAAAAGTCAGCACACTCAGCACGGATAGTACGCGCTACATGATTGCAGCGTCCAGGCAGCTCCCGTTCGAGCATATATGCCTTGAGCTGCACATAGCTCCTCCAACGATCACAGTGTCTCCACACACACACACACACACACACACACACACACACACCCACACACACACACACACACACACACACACACACACACACAATTATTGTATGAGAGAGGTTCCAGGTTGAATTGAAGCGAATATTTGTAATGTTCAGAGGTTGTTGTGTTTAATATTCATGAGAATATTTGTCATTGTTCAAATGATAATAAACAAACATATAAAGCATATTTGTCCACTCATATGTTGATAAGAGTATTAAAAACTTGAAAGATATCCCTCTAAGGTACATTTAGAACAGATAAAAAATGTGCGATTAATATGCGATTAATCGCGATTAACTATTTGAATCGACTGACACCCCTAAAAATAATATCATCTGTGGAAGCTGTGGTACTGTAAAAAGCACGACCAATCATCTGAGCCGGCCCGGCTAAAATAACTGGATGGCCTACCTGCCTGTCAGCCTTCCATCTGTGCACAAACTTATCTCGTGCCCTCATTGGTCATGTGCGCGTTCGTGTGTGTTGGAGGAGGGGCTCTGTAAGGAAGTGGCAGATTTTCTCCGGTTGTGTATTTTCAAATTGGAGCGCACTCGAGCTGGTTTCTCCAAAATTACCTACCCCACCTTTAAAGGTCACCTATCATGCTTTCATACATAAATATGTGTCCCCGTGTGTCAGGAGACTCACAAAGGGGCGTGGCCAGCAGCAGCTCGGGTACGTTGGAAGCTACTGACCCAGAATCAGCTCTTTAGTCACAGGCCTGAAATAGAGGGGGATGAGGCTGCAATGATCTGTTTGGGTTTTGGAGCAAAGCACTTCAGAGACATGTTTTTTATATCTCTGAAACCTATAATATATGCCTAAAAATAGTATAACAGGAGACCTTGAACATATACCAAACAGTTGGCTTTATTGCTAGGTTCAATAAGTGAACACAATGCACTTTAAACATGTCATGCAGGAGTAAGACAATGATTTAAGTAGGTACCTCCATATGATTATTGTGAATACATGATTAAAGGTTTCAGCCTAACTCTCTGAAACATGATGTCACACATCACTTGTGGATTGTTATATTTTATAAATCTAAAAGTGTTCATTCATCTGAAGCACTTTGAGAGCATTATCAATAGGATATAAATATGGTGTGCTCTTGTAACAAGTGTGTGCATTTGTAAAGCATTGAAACAGAAACACACTGATTGTATAACTATTAACGCTAACGACACAGAAAGAAAGTTACATCTACACATCACGGTGGAATTGGCATTACTCCTGAAGTTACTCGTGCACAGTGCTGCCCCTGACAGAGTTGGCCCGTTCTTTACATAACGTGTGAAAGTGTGTTCATTGGATGACAATAGTGAAGCTGAGGGAAATGATTTCCAGATATGTGTTCAGTTAAAAACCACCAGTACGTCTTCTTATCTCAATGTCTCAGTTGTGCTCACAGCCTCTTTGCATCACTAAACTGGTGACATCAGGGAATCAGTCAGGGAGCATTTGACGGGTTTAGAGAACATTGTTTTGAATCTTCAGGAAGTGTATGAACCACTTCCTGCCGAGGACCCTTCATTGTGTACGCTGTTAATGTGTGTTATCGTGCGTTAACCCGGTGTTTGTGCCTCTTCCTCTGTGCAGAGTCATGAAGCTGCTCCTCCTGCTGGCAGGTAAGCAGCATCGCAGGCTTCACTGTGACAAACAACATGTGTTTGAAAGGCATTATGAATGCATTTCAAAGTCAAGTCCTCTGTGCATAGAGTCACTGCGAGTGTGTAATAGCCCCGCACTACTCTACTGTCTTCTTTGTGCAAATAAAACAAGATAATGTTTGAATGATAGACTTTTAAAACATGAGCTCATCCATGAAATCAATATAAATGTGAACGGGTAGCTCTTATTCAACATGTTGATGGCTTCAGTTAATGAGGGGGTTAGCCTTCAACCACTTGTATTTATGAATGAAACAGAACCCAGATACCCTGTATACATTCACCCTGAAGGAGCACATGCTTTACAGAATAAATAAGTATATCATTATTCACTCATTGCACTGATGAGTGTCACTTCAAGTCAGAGGAGAGACTTCAGGGAACGATGAGTGTTCAGGTTGTTCCTGATGGATGTGTTTCTCCTGGAACTCCTGCAGTTGCTGCCAGCCAGATGGAGCTCTCTGCCTCTCAGGAGGTCACTCTGAATGCTCCTGGTGGAAACCTCAACATCAGCACCATGCCCATCACTTTCTATGGAAAAACATACACATGGTTACACGTGAGTACAATGAACCCCTGCCTGTGTTTCCTGTGATCATCCAGCACACACACTGACTGCTGATGACTGGTGTTATTACACATATTACACATACTACACATGTTACACATATTACACGTACTACACATACTACACATATTACACGTACTACACATACTACACATATTACACATACTACACATATTACACAAACTACACAGACTACACATACTACACATATTACACATACTACACATACTACACAAACTACACAGACTACACATACTACACATATTACACATACTACACATACTACACGTACTACACATACTACACATATTACACATACTACACAAACTACACAGACTACACATACTACACATATTACACATACTACACATACTACACATATTACACATACTACACTTACTGCACATACTACACATATTACACCAGTGACGTGCGGTGAGGTTCATGGCTGGTGAGGCACTGACTTTTTCAGAGTCAGATTTACAAATATTATAGCCTATTTTGACCTTAATCGAAATATTCTGTTATTTTCAAAAGCTTTTTTAGTCTGATGCTATGATTAATTTTAAACAGACCGATCAACAAAAGGATACCCAAAATCTAAATATTGGATTGTTCTTTCTAAGTAAGATCCCATTTTCATTACAGTTGTGGTCTTACCTTGACTTGAAGATGAATAGAAGTCCATGCTATCCTTCTGGACAACAATCTCTATTACTGTTTTGTAAAAGTCCTCCTTATCTTCCTGTAGTTTCAAAAGTCGAGTTTGTTGTTTGCGGTAGAATAACAGTAGCAACAAGAACCTGTGGGCTCACGTGCGCCCCCTTCAGTGCGGCAGAGGTTATGGCTGCCTCCCCTTGTGATTTTTTCATTGCCGTTGTATATGTGTAGCGAGCCTAAATATCATATATACGTGAAATAAGTTATTTAGAGACTATGGATGGCGAGGATAAATGTAATAAAGGGATCTACAAACATTACATTGGTGACCTACAGTGAGATGGGAACAGGCATGCGCTTAGGGTTCGCTTTCCAGCCAGTTTCTGTGGGGTGACGCATTCTGAAGTGAGGCAGATCTCATCTGTGCCTCACCTACCCCACAGTAAATGGCTTGAGCGCGCTCACAAAATAAGTGGCCGCGCTAAATTAGTGCCCGCGCTCCAGCAAGTTACTGTGGGCTTACGAGAGGCAGAGCTCGTGCCTGCCTCACTTCTCATCGCTCCCGTAGCGGAGCTCGGCAAATATAAAATGCGATTGGAATCAAACAGAAATCACATTTACACAAGATCAGTGGAGACATTTTATTATTATTATTATTTAGTTTTTCTTTAATTGTTTTTCCGTTACATTGGAGTATGACAGGTGAGGCTCTGCCTCCCCTGCCTCCACTGACTGCACGTCGCTGTATTACACATAATAAAGGTATATCTGTGGTTTAGATAAGGTATAGATATTACACATAACTCACTGTTTAATATGTACTAACTCACAGTTTAATATGTACTAACTCACAGTTTAATATGTACTAACTCACAGTTTAATATGTACTAACTCACTGTTTAATATGTTATAACTCACTGTTTAATATGTACTAACTCACTGTTTAATATGTACTAACTCACAGTTTAATATGTACTAACTCACTGTTTAATATGTACTAACTCACAGTTTAATATGTACTAACTCACTGTTTAATATGTACTAACTCACTGTTTAATATGTACTAACTCACTGTTTAATATGTACTAACTCACTGTTTAATATGTACTAACTCACAGTCCTCAGAATCAGTCACTAGTGTGTTTGTCTTGATCTTATTTATATATAGATGTAAGCGGTTTCTTACCTTTCAGCGTGTCAGCCTGTAAATATGGGAGCAAATGGGGTCTATGGGGTCTATGGGGTCTATGGGGTCTATGGGGTCTATGGGGTCTCTGGGGTCTATGGGGTCTATGGGGTCTATGGGGTCTATGGGATCTATGGGGTATATGGGGTCTATGGGGTCTATGGGGTCTATGGGGTCTATGGGGTCTATGGGGTCAGGCACTGATCAGATCAGTTCAATGGAGCGGGGACAGATCATTACTAGAGCCAACAGGAAGTGGTTTGGAGCAGCTGGACGCGTCTCTTTGATTCCACATGTGTCTCTGTATGAAAGGAGACATAAAGACTTGTTGGACAGTGGCTTGTAGAAAGCTTTTTTCCAAAGCGAGAGAAATGTTTTGATCTCATAATTGATCCTATCCTTTTTCTCCGTAGCTCAAAGCACACCTTGCAGCTCAGACATTTGAGGAGATGAGACGATGCTGTTCTGGAGCGAAAGCCTTCATATTGTAGTTCCTTTTTTTGTTTTTGCAGGTCAAGATGGGCAATAAGGATGAAGTTTGTTTAAAAAATGACCCATCTGAGGACGACATTGACTGTGTGGTGACCAACGAGGGGGTGGCTTCAGACAAAATGGTCTACAGTATAACACATGGATCATTTGGCTCTTCTCTTGTTAACATCAAAACCCAGGCACAGGGTCTCGTTGATCTCCTGTTCTATAATGGTGCTACACAGAATGTGAGTCCTGATCCGATCCCTGTTACACACTGACTGGCTGTCCAGCTGTTTGTACAAAATGAACATTTCAAAGACATTGTGTGGCAAAGACAACTTCAAATCAAAGTTTATTTGTAAAATGTTGGAAGCATTTCCTAATATTTCTCTCTCTGTTCCTGCTTTCAGATGTTTTGGGAATTCTACAATTATGGTTTGCAAGCTGCTTGCAGGACATATCTTCCTGCTCGCCGTCCATTTTCTGCTAGTTTAGTAAGTATGACATGAGGCTGTTACCTAACCCTAACCCTTCAGCCTCACCGATGTTTAGAGTTACCATTTGTCAGGTCCCGATACCAATGCAATGTTTTCCTGTTTGTTTCTGTGTGCCAGGGAAACTCATATCCTAAATGCTTTCTGTTAGAAAGCTGCTGTCTTCCAGCCTTCCTCACACTCACTCTGAATGAGAACTGATCCCTGAGAAGACTTCTGTACCCTAACCACCCTGAGAAATGAGAACTGAGGCTGTGTGTGATCCATTATTCCTTTGTATCACTATCAGACATCATTCATATGAATACAGAACCAGCTTTCAGTTCAGCATGGATAGGTGAATGGAGAAGATCAAGTGCAGTCTGTTTGCTCCTCTAAGCCTCTCCTTTGAAAACTCTCTTCTTATTTTCACTTCTAAACAGAGATAGGTGTCAGAAATAATGTCATACACAGCCTTAGAGTTTCAGGAAGCAGAAGTCACTCAGCATCATGTGTCTGAAGACAAAGAGAGTTCTTATCAGTGACACATGTAGCTGCTAGCATGCAGAGCTAACGGGGGCAGGACTCACAGCACCAGGGGCTGGTGGTTCTGCTCCTTCCTGCCCTCAAGTGGACAAAGGAGTTCATTAGAAATATCAATCTGGAATAATGAAGGAGCTCACCACTGCTCTCACTGTTACTTCATGTCCTAACATCGGAGGAAATATATCAGAAGTGGCATCTATAGAACACTTTCATTCATGTGTACAGTGTTGAGGTTACCTTTGTTTTCACTCATTGTATTTACTTGATATTTTAAATGTGTTTTTAAGGTTCAAACATCTGTCCAGGGACTACAGCTGTAAAAGAGCCTCTTGGCTAACTCTGGCACATTTACAGAGATGGTTCTTAGTGTGCAATGTCCCTGTTAAATAAATAATATGCATACAAATACATTCTGTTTAATCCTTTACTAGAACATTTCTACAACAGTCGGTGGCACAGTGATGGATACCTGGGAGCCTCCTGCAGGAACATCTACTCTTCGAGACCTGAGTGGATGCAGAGGCTCAGGTAAGCTGGTCTGGGGGTTCCCAAAGAAAGGGATCCTCTAAGTTAAATGTGATATTAAAACATGTCTGTTGTTTCCCTATCTTAAATTCTGCCTGTAGTTACTGAAGTGTAATATCATTACCTCCATTCTCCTCCAAGGTGGCGCTGTAATGCCGGGTTCAGAGATGCCCAGCGCAGAGCCCTGCTCTGTTGAACTCTGTTCTCTGTCTGCAGTCCTCTCTAATGTCACTGCATGTGGGCCCGAGGAGGTTTGCCAAGCGGACAACACGTAAATATGTGCTCTTTATATCAGGAATAAAGGTCTGACTGATTTGAATAAAGTGTCCCATGTGATCGAACCCTCCATGAGAGAGTGAGGATATTATCCACCTGAGGATTATTGCAGTTATTGATGAATCTGTTCCTATTTCTATTACCCCTTTCCACCAAAGCAGTTCCAGGGTCAGTTCAGAGCTAGTGCCCGATAGCTCACCAGTCCTTTCATTGTTTCCATGAGCAAAACTGGTTGGTGTTAGGAACCAGAGCACTGCTGAACTGGAACCAAGAACCAGATCTGTGTGGAGGCTGGGTCAGATCACTAGAGCCGTAGAGATACGTTCGCTCTCACGGCCCGTTTTGAGGAGCAGCACGACCCGTTCTCCTGTTGTTTTCATACCAGCTTTCAGGTGTGATCACTACATACTGTAGGCTACACAAGTTTTCATATCAGATCACAAGTGAAATCCTATTGAAAGAGCGCCGGTAGAAAACGGAAAATGACTCAATGATAGCAACATGTACTCATACAAAGCATTTATGGTGAATAATTAAAACGCCGTAACCATCTAATGTTCATATCATGTGTTATATATTTTAAATAAGATTAATTTAGTTTGTTGGCTCTTAATCTGGTTATTGCTTCTTCAGACTGGCTATGCTAACATCATCCATATGATACAGGGAAATGTTTGGCAGTTAACGTCAAACATTGTACATTAAAACTGAACAAAATATGAATCACTGGGGAAATCTGCATCTGTTGCTTTAGTGACAGTCAGCAGTGAATTACTGACTGTCACTAAAGCAACGGTGAATGCCTCTGAATCCTAGTGGGAACAGTTCAACCTGGATCTGAAGAAGAGCACCGAGAGCACAGCTCCAATGCAGCAATATCATATTCCATTTACATGAATACAGACTTTTTGCATTACTTTTTATTATATTATTATATATGTTGCATCGTTGGAGGAGCTCAGGTCAGAAGAATGTCATATGACAATGAAACCTTTGAATTGAATGTTGAATTGAATGTCCATCAGGTGCGCTGAGGTTCCTAAGGCCCCGGTGGTGTGCACGGTGACGGGCTCCACGGTGATCGGTTTCCACGGAGCAGTGCACTCTGTCCAGGATCGCTGTGCCTACAGTCTGATGGAGCCTGAAGGCAGCGCCAGCTTCAACCTCATGGCCGCTTTCAGGGAGCGCCGGCGTACAGATGTTCCTCTTCTGGACCACCTGATCCTGTCGCTGCCAGGTGTGACCATGTATCTGGAGCAAGGAGGAAGAGTTCGGGTACGTTAGCACGTTGTAGTTATGGGGGTGTTTGCTCAAGCAATGCTGATCATTTCCTGCTAGGAGTTACTTTGTGGTGGTGTATCACAAACCCTCTGTGTGTGTGTGTGTGTGTGTGTGTGTGTGTGTGTGTGTGTGTGTGTGTGTGTGTGTGTGTGTGTGTGTGTGTGTGTGTGTGTGTGTGTGTGTGTGTGTGTGTGTGTGTGTGTGTGTGTGTGTGTGTGTGTGTGTGTGTGTGTGTGTGTGTGTGTGTGTGTGTGTGTAGGTTGGTGGTGAAGCCCTGGTGCTCAGCAGCACAGCTCAGCTGATGCACGGCGTGGAGCTCTCCAAGGACCAGACTGGAGTCACTGCTAAGTTCCCGTCCTCCAACATGACTCTCTTCTTTGATGGCAACAGCGCACATGTGACAGGTACAGAACAGTACTTCCAATCTGGACTGAATATTACATATTTATTTCTGAATAACAGCTTTAATTCTACCCTCACATCCACCAGGACTTCCTGAAGCTGTAGAGGGTTTGTGTGGCAGCCCCTCCAACTCCAGCTGGACCACCACCCCGACTGCAGAGAAGTCCTCTATCAGCCTCCCTGGGTACCGCTCAGTCCGACTGATATGACCTATTTGTCATAATGTGGATTAGGGTTCAGATGTAATGTGATCTTTGTCTCCCTCTAGCTGTGAGATTCAATACCAGGACTCAGTCGACAGCGCCATCAACTGCAACCGCTCCACCGACCAGTAAGAGCTGAGCCATGAACACCCTCGTCTTGTCATGTCATATAAGCAGCGTTGTTTCTGCAAGATCAAATCAAATCAAATCAAATCAAGTTTTATTTATATAGCACATTTAACAGCGCTTTTTGGTCCAGCCAAAGTGCTGTACATGTAATAAAAACAGAATACTACAATCTCAATAAAAGACAATAATTTACAACAGAAATATAAAAAACAAAAACACAGGGAATAGTCAGGAGTCGTGCTCCGCTCTGACTAGAAGGCCAGGGAGAAAAAGTGTGTTTTTAGTGAGGATTTAAAACCCCCTAGGGTCTGGGCCGACCTCACATGGAGGGGCAGAGTGTTCCAGAGCCTAGGGCCAGCTGCTGCGAAGGCTCGGTGCCCTCAGGTTTTGAGCCTGGTCTTGGGCACTACCAGCAGCAGCTGGTCAGCAGACCTTAAAGCTCTGGCTGGGGTGTAGCGCTGGAGGAGTTCAGCTATATAGGCCGGAGCCAGCCCATTTAGGGCTTTGAAAACAAATAAAAGGAGTTTAAAATCAATTCTGAACCGAACTGGAAGCCAGTGTAGTGAGGCCAGAATAGGGGTGATGTGGTCACGCTTTTTGTGGCCAGTGAGAAGACGTGCAGCTGCGTTCTGAACTAGCTGCAGGCGTCTAATTGAGGCCTGGTCCAGACCCACATACAGAGCGTTACAATAGTCCAGTCTCGAGGTAACAAAGGTGTTAATAACCCTTTCTAAGTCTTTAAAAGATAAATACGATTTGGTCTTGGCCAATATTCTTATTTAAAAAAAGCAGGATTGTATACGGTGCTGATCAACCAATGTAACACGGAAAACTCTTCCCTCTGAACAGCTGTAATCTCATGAGGCAGCCTCCCTTCTCCGCCTGTCACGAGCACACCGACCCAGAGCCGTACATCAGCGCCTGCACACACACTCTGTGCAGATACCCGTCAGTGGATGGGGTCGACTGCCACTTTTTGGAGGCTTACGCCAAGGCCTGCAGCCTGGAAGCCAACGTGACCCTGGAGGACTGGAGGTCAACTTCTGGCTGCTGTAAGACCCTCTTTCACTTGAATATTCACAGTCGTTGTGGTTTAATACACAACTGGAAGTCCCTGTGTTTGTATAGTAGCCTGAGTATGGTCACATATACAGGATATATGTAATATGGATAGTGTGCAGTGTTTGATTCCACTTCATTCTAGGTTTATTACTTCATTCCTAGTAATAGTTTGTATAATCATTGTTATTAGTGATATTATTATGATAACTATTTAAAACTGTGTATGAAGGAAAAAAGGGAAATTACAGTAAATATAATAAAAGCATAGATTTTGTAAAATGTATTATTTTCATTTAATTTTAAATATTTTAAACTCGTCTAACTGTCATAGTTGGCTCCTCATGTTGGATGTTGTATTACGGTGTGTGTGATATCTCCTGTATAGATAGATGTTAATACATATATAACTTTTATCAATATATTTTAATATATATATATATATTATTATAAGTTGTTATTAATACTATCATGAGTTTTAGAATCGTTATCTGAGATCTGCCCACTAAGTGTGTGTGTGTGTGTGTGTGTGTGTGTGTGTGTGTGTGTGTGTGTGTGTGTGTGTGTGTGTGTGTGTGTGTGTGTGTGTGTGTGTGTGTGTGTGTGTGTGTGTGTGTGTGTGTGTGTGTGTGTGTGTGTGTGTGTGTGTGTGTGTGTGTGTGTGTGTGTGTGTGTGTGTGTGTGTGTGTTAATGTTTGATCAGCACTGCCTATTTCAACACAGTCTCACAGCATTTCGTGTTATAGTCACGAAATTAATCTATTGGTTCGAGTTCAACAACATGATTTTCGCATTTTTTCCGTGTCACACAGAACGATTTTAAAAGCAATGTAAATAATAAAAAATTTGAAGGAAAAAGAGAAATAGAAAAATATAGATTTCAGTATTATTTATAAATAAAATTATAAAATGCAATAACGTGCTTTAACCAGTAGGTGTCCCTTTCTATCAGCTGTGCACCGTTATGGCGTAAATACAGCCTATCTACCAATTGGATCAAATATAAAAGTCAGCCGAATTAGTGTTGATACTGCAAGGAGACGTATTGTGTGAAAAGAAATGTAAGATGAGAAGGGCTCTATAAATAGACAATTACGGCAGATATGTAATATTGAATGCAGCCGAAACGTGTATTACAATGCCGTTATGTGATGACTTTCAAAGAGAAAAGCAAGCACACTCGGAATAATGTATTATTTAATTTCTTTTAAATGTTTTCGGATTTCACATCGCATAAACACCAAATCCCAGCGTGCATAGCGGAATATCAGTATGAGAAAAACGGCATCCTTTGACCCTCACATCGTACAAGGAAAAACTTCCAGAGAAAAACCCACAGTTAATATACACACATTCCTTCACATTTACATTTAAATTTACATTAAAGTATTTCGTGAGGCCTTCTAACATGTTTTTAAATATAACTACGGTTGTAGTTGAAGAGTTTGTAAATTAACTTGAACCGAAGCTGTTGCCTGTTGCAATATACAGTCTATGGTTGCTACAGAGGATTGTGGGTAATGTAATGTCTTCGGCCATCCAAAACTCATAGAAAACGACTTGTTTCTCAGAATTGAAGGGGAAAACGTGACATAAGCATTGTACACACACTAAACCTATCAATGTTGTTTAATTAACAAGATAATCTGGTGTTTTTGAGTTGATGAGAAGTGGAGATATCTCTGTCAAATCAATCGACAGTAAGGGGAATACTTACTTCCGGGTGTACAATTCTCCGTTATCCAATGGGAATGGACGCTCACATTGCCTTTAACAGCCGCCGACACAAACGAATGCCGTGCTTCCATGAGCGTCAAATCCCGCCGCCGATGGGAATACATTGCAATCAGTTGAAAGCTATTTGCGTCTGTTTATGAAGCTGAAGGAGACTAGGAGCGTCCCAACTGCACGCCTCGGGACCCTGACCAAGCGTCGCTCCTGGACGTTTATGGAGTGAGAGTGTGTTGGTTAGTAAGTACATTAACACACACACACACACACACACACACACACACACACACACACACACACACACACACACACACACACACACACACACACACACACACACACACACACACTCACGCCCTGCCGTTGTCGAGGTGAATCAGGAACGTGTTGTTGCCAAACTTCTCAAAGGTGTCATAATGGTGTCTGTCCATGTTACCTACAGGAGGAGAGAGGCATTAGTTTAGCACCACCAACAAAGTCCACACTCCTTCTGTAGATAATGATAAAACATCACATAATGCATTCTGTGCATCAAAATACTTATAAACATACATATTTTACCAGCTTTTAAAAGAGCATCACCAGAATAAATCCAGCTGATTATAGACAGTATGATATTGGATGTGGTTTTACCAAGTCTTACCAAGTTTTTAAAGCACTTTTTTTACTCAACTTTAAACCACATTTTGATTCCGAAACAAGTCATAATGTGCCATCGAACACTTTTGAACTGTACGTTTTATATTATGCTTTTAGTTTTCTGCAAAATAATGTACACAATTATAATTGTGTACATTATTTCTCCAGTGGTGATCAGTAACGAGAGCTCTTCATGGATCTCTTCTGCAACTCACCTGGAAGCTGAATGAAGTGGATCTAGGGAATTGTGTCGACTAAGAAATAGATATTTAGCGTTAGTTGAATCAGGAAGTGAGTTATTTTGTTGTTAACGCTTTAAATAACTTTAATCTTAAGGCTTGGGAGAAAGAATGTTCACGTCAGAAGGTTAAAGTCCTCACTGAAAACACTGAAGCATTGACTTTAATTAAATGTATTTTCTCAACAGATTTCACATCAATGTTTTAGTTTAGTTGAAAGCAATAATCTTAAGTGTAAATAGGTTCAACTTAATATTATTGCTTCAAACTAACCTAATACAGGGATGTGAAATCTGTTGACATAAAACATTAAATCAAAGTCAATGCTTCAGTGTTTTCAGTGCATGAAAAGTAACGAGTCATTGTTGTTAAAGTCCAAGTGATGATTCAAGGCTTTTTTGAGTTTGTCAAGTTGAATCTTGAATCAGTAAATGTGTCCTCTGCCTCTGTCGCAGTAATGGGAGATCAAACACAATGATTTAAAGCGACATTATGACAATGTGTAAAACATTTTAATGAAGAACATTACAGAATCCTTACGAAACGTAATGCATGAAGAGGCTTGCACAGAAGTGATGAATACATTTACAAAGGTTTTCCTGTAGAATGACTTAATAAATCCAGAGTGGTCCATCAGTTGTGTTTCTGCATCAGAGCAGACTCACCAGCCTCACCCTCCTCAAGCTACACAACACAGGACTTAGCTTAGCATAAAGGGGAATCTTAGCTATGATATTAGCATCTTCTGAGCCCTCATCATGGAGGACGAGTGGACACAGGTAGACAGGAAGCTGAGAGGCAGAGAGCGCGGCTGCAGAGAGACCTGAAGAGCCGCGGACTGCATATCCCATGATGCACCTCTCAGCTCCAGGCCACACAGATACACAGTGTGCAGAGGAAGAGAGTGTGAGCTGTCACTCAGAACCTGAAGGAGAGAAAACAGTGAGGAATATAATTATGACTGTATCACCTGATATAATTAGTGTGAATGCTGTTTACACTATACAGATGGAGCGTCTTATTTTGGACAGTTTAAAACGCGAGGGTCGTGATTGGTTCGTGCACGGTCCGTGATGGCCGGCCGGCCCCCAGTCTGACTTGATACCGCCCCCGTGATAAATAAATGTAATTATTGTGAAGCCAGCTGCAATGGATCATTGATCCACCAGGGGGTGCAGTGGGGTTCCACACTGGAGTCATGTGTGGAGTCTTGTACAGTATGTCTGGTACTAATGTATAGCGGATCTTTGTTAAGATCCATATGTCACGGATAGGATCATAGTCTGTGCTAAATAAGACATGTAATCATTTACAAAACATCACCATGTTGTTATTTAACAAAATAATGTTGTTTAGTCGAAAAAAACGAACGAGCCGGCTCTCCCGATTTTTAATCCTAATTTAATCATCATCATTGTTTATGTTCGCCGAATTGACATGAAATCACTGACAAATATGAATATTCTGTATTCAACTTCATTGAAACGATCAGGATGGGTGTTATTTTTCCCGTGTATTACATGGCCACATTCTCAACAAAGTTACGTAACGAAACATTCTGTATTCCTTGCTTACTTCCTTAAACCTTTTCTCCTCCTTATCTCTTTCATGACTTTTTATTTACAGTTGACTGTATTCAACTTCATTAAAATGTTATTAACGTGCCTAAACTCAGTAATTCACTAAAAATTACTGATCCCTCCGCGTCGCGGAGGGATCTTGATCCCTGGGTGTTATTTTTCCCCATAATGACCAAGTCGCTGCAAATTATCCCGCTTATTACATGGCCACATTCTCAACAAAGTAACGACATGACTCCCAATATTAATTAAAATGCTTTTATGGATTTACAAAATATTTTTATTGATTTAAAAAATAGTTGTATGTATTGATTTAAATTTACATGCATCCGCTAAGAAAAATAGTCCGTTGTTACCGTTTTTTAAACAGTCAGAATGAAACGGCAGCTCTCAGCTGTGTGTTTACACTCCTAATGGCCCATCACAGCTCTCCCCCCCCCCCCCCCCCCCCTGATCTTTCTTTTCCAACAGTTAAGTTAACTGTAGGTTACTCTGAGTGACAAGCTTACAGTTAGTGAAGTAACACTTTTTTTTTTGTGAGTCACGACCTCGCTGTTTCATTCTAACATAACGCTCCAAATATGACTGTTTCCACTCGGACTTCAATACAGCAACACCATTGTTTGGTTTCCATGGTAGCGTGTCTCTTTAGTAGCGTGCACTCCTTTCCTGTAAATTACAGGTCCAGCCAGGCAAAACAGTAATATGAAATATGAACGTTAGTTTTTAACTGAAATGATCAAATAAAGTCAAAATGTCACAGTGTTTACAAACATTGACCATACCGTTCACCAGCCCCCACCCCCCTATGTTTCGATTTCAAATAAACAAAGTCTTGGCTTTCAGAATATTAAACTTGTTTCGGCAAATTTAGATGATAAATACAACTATGGAGCTTGTAACGGCATAATTACTTAAGCGGAGAACGGAGTAATTTAACGTTACAGCAGGCATAACAACAGCCGGTGTTTATTTTATTATAATATATAGTCGTTATTCATTTGTTTTAACTAAATAGGCCACCATTGGTAGCAGTTCTCATTATATACTTCTCAGTAACTGCTCCCCTTAAATTAAATGTAAACGTTCACCATCCCCCACCCGCCTACTGTATGTTGCTTTTTGACATGTAAATGGGTAACTACCCCCCTCTGAGTGAATACCTGTTGTACCTGTCCGGGGCTAAGCCCATAGGACGATGCTCTGATGTCATCACCCTCGCACATTTGTCATATGTTTACAAAAAACAATGTTAACACTTTCTCGTTCTTAATATATGCTATATTTAGGGTCGATATGTGTTGAATTTACTTTAAAATAGCAGATCACTGTGACCGGATATAGTTTTTTCGGCTTAGTGAACGTGTGTTCCTTCCCCCCCGTTAACAATTCACGAGCGTCTAACTCTCTCCCACCCCCACCCCCCCCCCCCCCCGTCGCACCTTCTAACAGAGCCCCCCCACATATCAAATCCCAATTTAACCCCTGGCCTCTGGAGCAGAAATGAAAGAGTTTTAAAAATGTTTACGTTTTGGTAAGTTTTTAGGGAAATGTTGTAATATTGCAACGTTGGCCTTAGGTGGGAGCAGAATTTCTGTATTTCTACTCACATTGTCTGAATAAATATATTGAACAACTAAGGGTTCATTTGCAGGATTGATTGCTTACTTAGCCCTATATCAGTATATAGCATGAATAATAATCACTCATATTTGTTATGAATAATCATTTATCATTTATTAAATAGTAAGTCGCTTTGGATAAAAGCGTCAGCTAAATGCAATTTATGAAAGCCTCACTCAGGCTTTACCAAGTGGAAAGTTATTTAATATATAAAGACTATATATTATTGAATTACAAGATTAGATATACTTTATTTGATCTAAAATATTGATGTGTTCAAATGCTCTTCTAAACAAAACTGTTTCTGTGAAGGAAGCGCCATCTCCTGGTTAAATCCTGAAATTGAAAATCTGGCAACGCCCTCTTGGAAAATAGTGGGAGGGCTTAACATTCCCAGATACTGGTCTTTGGCAGGTCTTAGTCTGAAATAAGGTGCTCCATCTGTAGTTCTCTATTACCATCAAAACTAAAAACCTTTCATTACTGAGTGAATGGTTGTAGTATGTTGAGCATCTGCCGGGCTGTTCATTCGCTGTTCATTTGGTCAGAGGTTTAAAACAGAGAAAGGATCTCCAGATCTGAGAGAAGCTTTAATAATGAATTGAATATAAAGATAGACACTGAAGCACGAGTCAAAAAACATCTTTAATTTTCAGTATTAAAATAAAGCTGCTGCATTATTTCCCTTTAAAGTGAGAAAAGCAGTTCTGGAAAAGAGAACGTTTGAATTCCCTTATCTTTGAGTCGCACCATATACTGTACATTATAAATATCCTTTATCACAATTTACAAAAGTATTCTTCATAAAGATGCAAACAGCCGCAAGAACATAACAAATAAAAGCTTCATTTCCAACTTTCCAGCGACTGCCAAAAGAAATGTGCAAACATAGAATTTACAGGAAACATTTTGGAGGAAATTTCAGAGCATTTTTGTAAAAATGATTATAAAAATAAAAGGTAAAAACTAATTATAAACACATTATTTAAAATGGTCTCATGAAGCAGATTATTACACTTTGAACAGGATGATAATTAAGGCTTTTCAGATCAGCTGGTAATGAGAACGGGTTGCCAGGTTTGATTTGGTGTTTCAGAGTTTTGTTTTAGTCACAGGTTTAAACAAATGCTCATTTGTGTGTGAATCAAACACACATTTAAACACATGTTATTGATGTTGGGAAGAAACACTTGAATCCTTATCAATCTGTAACATGTCTTTACATCAGAAAGTTCAACTACAATCTAAGAAATGCAGGAAAAGGATCTATAAACAGGACGATGAGACAGATGCACTAAAGTGGTGGCAATTTAAAATAAAAACATGTTCATACAAAAAGGTAGAGGCTGGACAAAAGCTTTAAACAATAAGGAACGACTGGATGCAGCTCTGCAAAGAAAACAGAGCAGTTTGCACATCCTCCCAACCTGGCAACCCACAGGACACATCCTCCCAACCTGGCAACCCACAGGACGCCTTTCATTCCTGAAAATATAGAAACATGTCCCTGTTTGTTCTGCAGGTAAACAGAGGAGGCCCTCCACTGGACCTCTGGACCAATCACAGGGTCTCTGAGTCCACAGACTGTCCTCTGGACCAATCACAGGCTCTCCTTCATCCTCAGACTGACCTCTGGACCAATCACAGGCTCTCCCTCAGACTGACCTCTGGACCAATCGAAGGGTCTCAGAGTTCAAAGATGTTCACTTTAATGTGGAATAAAACCCCTTTTAGAGACAGGAAACGGGACTCTAACAACTGATTCAAAATGCTTCCGTCTTCCTCTTCTTCCTCCTCCTCTTCCTCCTCCTCCTCTTCTTCCTCCTCAGGTCTCTGAAGGGGGCGGGGCTTCCTGTCGATGGATCAGAGGCGTCCCATTGGTGCTGCTCAGTTGGGGGTCTGCAGCACGAGACTTATAGTTCTACAGACAGAGGAGACAGTGGGGGTTAACACAACAACAACAGCAGGATGAGGTGAACCACAGGGTGTCGTTCAGATACGAGAGGAGATTATAATGAAATACACATTCAAAGCACATTTATTATGAAGCATTGTACTGAAGTGTTATCGGCTGTACGATATTAAACGGGTTGAATGAATGTTTTAATGAGGACACGTTCTGGCAAATAAAAACGTATGCGAGACGCCTGAATGTAACGTCTGAGTGAAGAGCCAATTAGAAGCCAGATTAATCTAATGTTTATTATCCGTTAGCATCGAGGAGAAATAGTCCGTTAACCCGAGCGTGTACTTCAGGTACGGGATCATATCAACCGGGCAGCAACGTGGGCTACATCTAAAATAATGCATCAGTAAAAACCCAAATAGACGCAGAATTATAACATCATGTGTTTAAATACGAAGTCAAGGAAACAATATTGTACTTAAAGGGGACCTATCATGCTATATTATTCAAATATAGCATGATAGGTCCCCTTTAAGTGCAAATGTGACATATTTGTACTACAGTATTTTCTTCTCATGCCACTTTAAACTTTAAATACTGGATTCACACTTTACCTCGTATTTAAACTTGTATAATGTACATCAAGGGGGTCCGAACTGTTCTCACTGAGGGCCACACACAGAGAAACATCTGAAGGGCCGGACCCCCCACTAGAGGGGAGGTATACTGCCTCATCAGGTCAATTATAATTCAGCTAAACCAATGAGTCTTGAATAAGCTTTGAGAGACATCCCAGCTCTCCAGAGGGTCTACTTTCTCCTGTTGCAGCTCACACAGACCCTCAGATTGATTATCATGAGGGGAAATATGGAGGTGTATTTAAAGCTGGTTATGTGAATAATTATTGAGCTTTTTTTAATAGAGTAAGATCTGTTAGAAAGCGTTTTAATTGACTGAATGTATTTAAAAAGAGGACACATGAATACTGCTGTGTAATATCTGTTTACATATAAGTACAAGAGAAGCTTCAGGTGTGAGCTGAGGGACCATTAGAAATGGGCCGTAGTTTGAGGACCCCAATGTTCATTATTCTTTTTTTATTTGTATCTCTAGCATTCTGGAGGTCTTCAAAAATAAAACACATGAAAAAAACCAAGTTATAAAAAATACATTTGGTTATACATTTAGCAAAAACAGTTTGGAGCGATTTATGTGTGTATACACCCGGTGCAGCTAACCCGCGCCACCTAGTGTTCTAAATAATATTGCATTATAAATAAAGTACACTGACATGAAATGGCTCCTCCAGGTGGCAGTCCAAGCTGTTCAGAAGCATGAGAGCGAGACACATATAATATAAAGTAAATATATAATGTTGTATGAGTACTTGTACTGAAGTAAAGGACCTGAAAACACCTGAAAGACTCATTAACATCAGAGGCCAGGAAGTGAGGAACACACACTACCAAAATAAAATGCAAATAAAAACACAGAAGGACAACAAAGCACACGGAGCGGACGCACAGCAGCAGGTTCAAACATTTATTCATCAAACTTTAAACAATCTTTGTACAAAAATAAACCCAAACTAAAAAATAAAATGTTTTGAAAAAGCAAACCTAGAATGTGAAAAACAAAACAGCTGATCGAATGGAAGTCTGGAGACATATAATAATAAAGACTGAATATAAAGTCATCACTTTAAAACGCGCGCCTGTCCCTTTAAGAGTCCACATTGTCTCCGTTCAAATGTAACACACCGCACACACTTCCTGCTATAACAGGCTGCGTGTGTGTGTGTGTGTGTGTGTGTCTGTGTGTGTGTGTGAGAGATAAAGCGCAACATACACACATACCAGAGTAACAAGTCAGAGGAAATGTGGCGAGGATCATGACCCAGTGTAACCACACACACATCTGGACTGCTTTAAGACCGCAACACACACACACACACACACACACACACACACACACACACACACACACACACACACACACACACACACACACACACACACACACACACACACACACACACACACACACACACACACACACACACACACACACACACACACACACACACACACACACACACACACACACACACACACACACACACACACACACACACACACACACACACACACACACACACACACACACACACACACACACCCACACACACACACACACACACACACACACACACACACACACACACACACACACACACACACACACACACACACACACACACACACACACACACACACACACACACACACACACACACACACACACACACACACACAGGTAGAGACAGCAGGGGACTTCCACACAGGAACGACTCTGGTGTTTAAAACCTCACGGAGACTTTCACATCCTGTCATTCTCATGCAAACATATATGTGTCTGATCTCTGAGAGCCGATTGGACGAGTGTCACTTTATGCTTTAACATATATTACATTTGATTGTGTTTCTGTGCTGGTCCCTGAAGGCAGCATCAGGTAGTCCAATGGGATTCCTCCGTGTGATTTGGGATTATGAGGTTTAGTATTTACACGTTTAGTAGCAGGATAATATAGAGTTTTAACACCTGTATGATTTCTGAAGCACACCTGAACTGTTGAGCCCCCCCCCCCCCCCCACCCCCCCATGCACCTGGATGAGTGCTTTAAACAGCCCTCTGATAAAAGCATTTCACTCTTAAAAATGTGCACCTATTCTTTAACCTTTGTCTCACTTTAACACACTAAAAACTTTAAATCACAATTGTGTTAAAGGAAACCCCTGTTCTTTATACACTGCATTGTTTATTTATAGTTTTTATATTTGCATTGTGTTTGGAGAGTAGGAGCGCACGGCCACAGACAACGCATCGCACATTAAGCGTGCAGGAAACTGGAGTCACACTGAGCAAACTGAGCAAGGATGAGATTTTGCACGAATAAAATGTATTGGCACGAATAAAAATCAACATTTCACGACAAAATGAATTGCTTTTGTGCGCAAATGTTTAAAATGTCACATGCACTGCCCAGACACAAACCACATGCAACACATTGGAAAGTACAAACATGAAAAGCCACAAACGGTGAAAAGGTTTTCAGAGGCTCAGTCTTCTCTCTGCAGAACAGTCACAGGAAGTCCTCCTTAAAGCCCGTTCTAGTTTCAGGTTATAAACGACTGAGACAGGAAGTGAGCGTCTGTTCGCACAGCATCCCATCGGCCGCAAACCTGCTCGCTAACGTCTCACCATCTCACGTTCAGGGGTCTCTTTGTTGATACACGACACCCCAGATCTACAGCTATTCACAGCCGACACAACTCACTGCAGCCCCGGAACATGAAGGCATCGCAAAACCCGTAAAAGCATAAATAAAACAATTTAAAATGTATATATGTCCTGTCTGACACACAAGGCTCCTTGTTTTAGTTTCCTTAACCACTTATAGAAAAAGATCGTGCAGCTTAAACACACTTAGGTTTTGCACCACTGTGCGTGCGTCCTCTCAGACCATGTTGGTGCAGGGAGCTAGCAGCTAACGCTAGTGTTTCATTAGCATGAGCTAGCTGAGGGTAAAGCTTCCCGTCGATGTGAAACAGACGAGCCAGGACCCTAACATTGTGTAATAACACCTGCTGCATTGTGTAATAACACCTGCATTGTGTAATAACACCTGCAGTGTGTAATAACACCTGCAGTGTGTAATAACACCTGCAATAACACCTGCATTGTGTAATAACACCTGCATTGTGTAATTGCATTGTGTAATAACACCTGCATTGTGTAATAACACCTGCAGTGTGTAATAACACCTGCAGTGTGTAATAACACCTGCAATAACACCTGCATTGTGTAATAACACCTGCATTGTGTAATAACACCTGCATTGTGTAATAACACCTGTAATAACACCTGCATTGTGTAATAACACCTGTAATAACACCTGCATTGTGTAATAACACCTGCATTGTGTAATAACACCTGTAATAACACCTGCATTGTGTAATAACACCTGCATTGTGTAATAACACCTGTAATAACACCTGCATTGTGTAATAACACCTGCATTGTGTAATAACACCTGTAATAACACCTGCATTGTGTAATAACACCTGCATTGTGTAATAACACCTGCATTGTGTAATAACACCTGCATTGTGTAATAACACCTGTAATAACACCTGCATTGTGTAATAACACCTGCATTGTGTAATAACACCTGTAATAACACCTGCATTGTGTAATAACACCTGCATTGTGTAATAACACCTGTAATAACACCTGCATTGTGTAATAACACCTGCATTGTGTAATGAAGCCTGAACGCAATATCTAAGAAACAATTCAGGGAGTAAAGATGTGAGGGTCGGAGACTTGTGGCGTCTTTGGGACGACAGGAAGTGTTTCTGTGATGCAGGACACTCACTATGAGATGCACCCTCGTTATCTCCTGACATTATGAATCTGCAGGGGAGCTAGCTAACGTTAGCCGGTAGCTTTTTATGACGTTATTAAAATGCAGTTCAGCTGAAAACTCTCTGGAGGTTCTTCTCTTTCAGCAAAACCTGTTTTATTGTGAAAATATAAATTACGTTTCAAAAGTGAAGCGTGGATTCGTTTAGCCTCTTTATTTTTTTCATCTGATTTTCACATTAATTTTTTTTGAGTGAAAAGTAAATGGGAAAATAACGATGAGCCCCATTGAAATGCATCCATTGCTTTGTCAGAGTGTAGAAACCGGTTTTATTGTGAAATATTCAACTCTGCTTAAAGGGGAGGACAAACATATCAGATATTCTGCGTGGTCGAGATGAACCCTGTGTGCACCCGGTTTTTTAAATAACTAAACCTTTAGTTTGTCAGTGTTTTATTGTGAAAATATCAGCTATATGCTTTTACGGCCCGTCCACACAGCAGCGTTAAAAAAATCTTGGAACGCTTCTGCCCATTCACTTTGAATGGGGTGACGTCACTTTGCCTCACTTTTCGCCGAACTGCATTGTGGGAAGCAGAGCGGAGATTTTCAGGATTTTCAGGATTCAAAGTTGAGCAATGTTCAACTTTTGAAGCTGAGGTGGAAGCGTCAGCCAATCAAATCCCGTGTATGCAAATCTGACAGTTCAAGCGCTAGCCAATCAAACGGCGTGTATGCTGGGAGAGACATACCGCAGGTCATTTCCTCATATTCCAAAACATGGAGGAGAAATTAGCGGTAGGGAATCACCCGGTGCTTTATGACCAGTCCCTATTTACCTACCGGGATACAAACCGGAGGAGCCAGGCATGGAGGGAGGTGGCAGAGACAGTGGTATGTTTTCGCCTGTTTGGGGAGTTTATATCCAGTTTACTTCGGGCTTTTTTGCTTCGTATGTCGGGGGCGGGAGATTCATGTGATTGGTTGTTGGTGCCTTGCTCGCAAAAAATCCCCAAGCTTCAGATACACCCACCTCCAAGATTTTTTTAACGCTGCTGTGTGGACGGGCCGTAAGGGTAGTTAGATTTTCTTTTTTTTAAATGAACCCCGTTTTATCAGATTTGCACCTGGGTGTTTTTTGAATAACATATACAGAAAAAAATGAACCATGATTTTCTTTAATAACGAGTCCAATTGAAATGCAACATTTAGTGTGTAGCAGCGGACCCGTTTTATTGTGAAAATCCCTATAAAAGCCTAAAAGGGACAGAGTGGTAGAGTTGGACCCTGTTTTATCAGATTAGCACCGCAAGGTTTTAAACCATGATTTTCTGGGGGTATTTCTTGTGAGAGGTAAAGGTACAGAGTGGCCCTGAATGCAACCTCTAAGAGAGTCGCAGTGTCGGAGCAGATCATCTGTTTAGCGTGGTGGTGCGTTCAGGGGCGTGCGTGTTTTCTCCGTTACTCTCGGACAGTACCTCGTGCTCCAGCGTGTTAAAGTGCACCCCCGAGGAGGGGATCTTGTCTCCGTCTCCTCTGCGGCACAGGAAGCACAGGATCTCCTTGAAGGTCCTCCTCATGTCCTTGTCCCTGAAGGAGTAGATGATGGGGTTGACGAAGGCGTTGCACTCGGCCAGAACCAGGCAGTACTTCTCGTAGCGCAGAACTTTACATCTGTCGCAGCCCAGGCCGTCCAGAAGCAGAACCACCAGGGCCGGAGTCCAGCACATCACAAAGCACCCTGCGGAGACACAGAGGAACTGTTAGTGCTCAGGAGGTACAGGAGGACGCTTTAAACCGGGACACAGAGGAACTGTTAGTGCTCAGGAGGTACAGGAGGACGCTTTAAACCGGGACACAGAGGAACTGTTAGTGCTCAGGAGGTACAGGAGGACGCTTTAAACCGGGACACAGAGGAACTGTTAGTGCTCAGGAGGTACAGGACCAAACCGAGGTACTCTGTGAACCGTTACACCCCTTGTAGGATATGATTAGATACGGTACGGGCAGATACGGTACATTATACGGTACGGGCAGATACGGTACATTATACGGTACGGGCAGATACGGTACGGGCAGATACGGTACATTATACGGTACGGGCAGATACGGTACATTATACGGTACGGGCAGATACGGTACGGGCAGATACGGTACGGGCA